ACTGGGATGAATCAAACGCTCTAGGCATGTTGCTATGTCATTTACAGAATTTCTCGATGCCTCTTTAGGCTCCTTTATGGTCATGGATCTTGCCGTGAGCGTTGTAGTTGCTTCAGGTGGAAGGGTTGATGAAATTGATGCTATTGTTTCGTTCCGACAAGCGTTAAATGGTTTCACCGTCATCGTCGTCGCCAAAGCTTGACCAGAGACAGAGTCAGCATCTGCTACTCGCTCACCGCCTGAATTCCTTTTTTGGCTCCAGCAAAGAGTTGGTCGGCCATTTTTCAGGGTTGATCTGACATCCCAGCACGTAGCGACATCAAGCCGAGACGCCTGAATGCAAGAAGATATGGCAACTGTAACGCAGTTTTTTGTGGTGATATTAGAGCTAGTAACTGGGGTGGAAACAAGAGATTGAAGAGAAACAGGCTGCTCCGAAGATAAGAAACGGGGGTAGGAAGCGGATGATGAATTGGAGGATGGGCAAGTGCTGCATTGAGCTGGATTAACTCCAAAGGCACTTGGAACCGACATCGGCCCACAAGATGTACCAGACCCTCCAATCTGCTGTTTTTCCTGTTGCTTAGGCAATATCGTGGGCAGCATACCACCTTGGACAGAAGTCCGTGAGCAGGACTCATGCAAAAACTGCGTCCGGCTAGCTAATCGTCGGGAGCGATGCCTTTCAGGCCGAAGAGCGTCACTGTAACTTCGCTGACGCATATCAGCCATGCTGCTATTACTGCAACAAACACCATTGCTGCGATGGCTGTCTTTAACATCAGTCGTCAGGACTCGGCAGGTTGGCCGATCCGACAGCGAAGGATGACAAAGGGGCTCTTCAAAAGGTCTCGAGATTGAGGCTGCAGTTTGAGAGATATCAGAAAGAGCCAGTTTGGGAATGTCCGATGTACTGCCAGTAGACTGCAACGGTGGGGAAGAAGTAGATAGTAAGCTACTGGCCTGTAAATAATAAAATGAAAAGATTAGGTGAATATGGTACAGATAAGATTATTCCGCAAGAAGGCTAGATGGAAATATTTTCAATTTACTACATTACTGGTAAGGTCTAGGAAAAAAGTTAATGATACTAAATTGGAAGTAGGATATTAATGGATTGTAATGACGATATATAAGTTTTTAAAGTAGGTTTAATTCAGTAAACCTTGAATAAGAGTTCCAGTCACCAGAGGTGATGATAGTTGAATGTTTCCACAATGATATGAGTAAGCTTCATGTTTCCATTCAAATTCACTTAGCCTTGCTTCCCAAACGGTATTCACATAAACCAACCGGGTTTGAGTTCTACTGGAAGTGTTGAT